GTTTTCTAGGTTGTGGCTTCTCAGACTCAGAAAGAGGCATCCTCTTATTCCTGTTCCTAGTGCTCAGTTTAGGCTAGATAGTACTTTTCTTTTTTTTTGCCACAGGGTGTGTGCACTCACTAGAGAGAGACAGAGTGAGGGCCAGGGTGCTAGCAGAAGGCATGGTGGTTAAAGGCGTTGGATTCCCACATGGTTGACCATGGTTCATGTCCCAGACTCTCTCTGATCAAACTGGAAAATAAAAATAATAATAAATAAAGTTAAATAAAAAAGAGGGAAGGCCATGCTTCAATCCCCTCTCCTCCATTCTTCTCTCAGGATTTTGGGCACTCAGCACATGCCCGGTGTGATTCCCAAGCCAAGGGGTCTGGGACCAAACTGTGGTGGGTCATATGGGAGTCCAGTGCCTTAACCCCATGCCACCTGCTGGCCCATGACCCAATTTGTATAAAATTGAGAACTTTGGGACCAGCAATTGGCATAATGGCTATGTCGCTGGACTCCCATGTAGTTGATTGTGGTTCGAGTCCCAGACTCTGCCATGTAGTCGATTGTGGTTCGAGTCCCAGACTCTGGCTGAAACTCACAGTGGGCGTGTGTGCATGGGTGCCCAAGATCCCAAGAGGAGAATGGAGGAGAAGGGATTGCGGTGTGGCCATTCCCCCAGGGAGGTGATTTCTTGCTTTCTGTTTCTCTGTCTCTCTGTCTTTCTGATGAGTGCATGTGCTCTATAGCAAAAAACCTCTCCAAAAAAAAAAATAATAATAATAAAATTTAAATTTAAATTTTCCTCTCCAAAAAAATAATAATAATAATAAAATTTAAATTTAAATTTAAAAAAATTGAGAACTTTTGTTCTAATGCCAATCTACTGTGACTCTCACAATCACTCTGGCACCTGCCTGGAATGTCAGGGAGCCTCCAAGAAGAAGTAGAGGCAGGAAGTGGGTGGCCTCAAACGGTAGTTGGTGTTCACATTCCACCTTCCAGGGGCTCTTGCCACCTAGAGCACTGGAGAGAGCGTACACACTCTAAAAGTATCTGAGCAATGGCAGAAGAGACATGCTTACTAATCCCGACTTAACTGATCCCTATTGCAATGTTTGTTTTTCCAAAAACTCTTTGTGGAACATTGACACTGTTCATTCCTAAGAAGATCAGATCTTTCAAATAACACCCACCTCCACATTCTCCTTGGGGCAGCCACTCCTGGTTCTAAGAAATACTTAACAGTTCCCCTCCCTTTTCAGTACCTTGAAGACCAAAGTCAAACCTTGTTTTTCTCTTGGTATCCATTGTTTATCTAACCCCTTGAGCTCGTTTTATAACCCTAATTCAATGCTCTTTTCTTGGCTGGTTTTGGAATGCCCTATAGATACCCTTTTGATAACTTCCTGCTAGGCAAGGAATTTACTATCATCTTTCAGCAATATTAGCAACCCTGTCTGTCATTCTCTCATTCCCTAGTACTTGGTGTCTTTAGGGAACAGCAGCACATTTAATTTTGGCAGGGGAAAAGTCACTTGACAGGGTGAACGTGTCCAGGGTCCTAGGAGACTATGAGCATATCTTTTAGTCTCCACTAACCCAACACTTTGTGCAAAGTACATGTGGGGACTGGTTGAGAAGAGAGGAGGCCCAAAAATGTCCTCGCATTCCTACTATCAGACTTTCGTAAACATACAAGAAAAGGAAAAATCTTTGCAAACTGGCGGCATGCAGAACCTCCTTTATCTTCTCTTTGCCTGGTATGTAGATCAGATCTAATGATGGAGCATTTTCTTCTATTAGCAGCTCTTTTCTGTGAGGACAGACTCTTAGCACCAAATATAGAAAGACACATTGGAGACAGAAATGTGCTTCCTTCTCATCTGTGCCTAGCTGTGGCCCCACGCCCTCCGACTCTACATTTCAGGCTCTCTGGTTGCCACTGCCTTTCTGCCCTTGCCGCCCTTCTCCCGCTCGTTTATCATTTCACACTGCGGTTTTTGTTTGGAAAGTGACAGCATATTCTGCATAACCGAGGAAGAGAAAGTTATTCTCTTTTAGAATGTGGTTGTTCTCTTGGGACCAACAGTTAGCATAATGGCTATGTCGCTGGACTCCCACATAGTCGACCACGGTTCACGTCCCGGACCCAGTGGCTTAAGCTCACGCCGGGCGCGTGTGTGTGCGTGCTCAAGATCCCGAGAGGAGAATGGAGGAGAAGGGATTGCGGCGTGGCCATCCTCCCTGGGGGGGGTGATTTCTCACTTTCTATCTCTCTGTCTGTCTCTGTCTGTCTGGCGAGTGCACGCGCCCTATAGCAAAAACCTCTCCAAATAAATAAATAAAAGAATGTGGTTGTTCTCAGCAGTTAGCGTAATGGCTATGTCACTGGACTCCCACGTAGTCAACCGCAGTTCGCGTCCTGGACCTGGTGGCTTAAACTCACGACGGGCACATGTGCGTGCGTGCCCAAGATCCTGAGAGGAGAATGAAAGAGAAGGGATTGCGGCATGGCCATCCTCCCTCGGGGGTGATTTCTCACTTTCTATCTCTCTGTCTGTCTCTGTCTGTCTGGCGAGTGCACGCGCCCTATAGCAAAAACCTCTCCAAATAAATCAATAAAAGAATGTGGATGTTCTCTTCTCTTTCTCTGTAACTGCAGTAGAGAGATGCCTGGTCCTAGACTGAGAGTTGAATTTTGCTTTAAAAGTAACAGTTTCGGGTCTGGGTTGAGGTTGAGTTAGGGTTGAGATAAAGTCAGTTTTCGAAAGTTGAGCATTGAACTTTACACTCTCCATCTCACTGGTTCCAAACCACTCGAGAGACGGTGGGAATCTTAAATGTACTCAAGACATTGTCAAATCCAATTGGCCTTATAGTACTCCAGTTTCGTGTTTCTACCCAAATCCACGTAGTCTCTGACTCTTCCCTCAGGTGTCTAGTGGGTGGGGAGGGGCACAAAGAGAGGGTTTCCCAAGTGCCTATTCAACGCACTTTGATTACCTGCTTTAATCAGAAGATGTGGACAAAGGAAAAGTTTGGAAGAAGCATGTGGGGAACTGCCCCCACACTCCCACTTCTCCACAGCCTAACACACACAGCCTGATGGCTAAGCATTCAGTACTTGCGGCTGGCCTCACCTCCTAGGAGAAAATTGGCCCCTTGCATACGGAAGCAGAAGTGGATTAGTGGAAAGCACCCGATTAAACATCAGGAGACTGACTTCTAGATCCAATTTTACCCATGAGTAGCTGTGGAATTTGGAGAAAGCCACTTAACCCCTCCATATCTTACTCTTTTCATTTGTAAAATAGAGAAATGCCTGCCTTCCTCCTTTGCCTCAATTCTGTAAGGTGGTTGTGTCACATGAAACAACCACGGGGACGACCTTTGGAAGAGTACAGTGCTGAGGCTTTGCACATATCACAGTCCTACTAACCGCGTCCAACCTACGAGACTGTTTTATAGGGTTATTACAGTTCTTCACCACGGGTAAGGCTGCTGTGTCTGGAGCAGAAGCCAGCATCCAGGAGTGCTGTCCACACTCATAAGTCTTGAAAACCCCCAATCATGGGTGTGACTGCAATCTGTTAAAAAGTATTGCCCTTTGGCTCGTTTTTGAAGCTTTCTTAACTGGCAAATGGTTTCTGAGAGCAGCCCACTTTTCCAGTTCTGCCATTTTCAGCCAATCTTGAGGCCCTTTTCACCTCTGACAGACCATGTTTAGCCCAGTTAGAGGGTTCTGAGGTTCAGTACTGACGCCATCACTTACTGCTGTGTGGATGTAGATGACTCGCATCCGACTCCATAGGGTTGACCTAAGGATTTATGAGTACTGGAAAGTACCTGGCCAAGTTCCTAGTCAATATATGTCAATTCTCTGCTCCTCTTTTTTTTTTAATAATTAATTTTTTAAAAAAATTTTAATTTTTTAAATAATTATTTATTTAATTTTATTTATTCACTCATTTTATTTTAATTTGACCAGAGAGAGACACAGAGGAGGAAAGAGAGAGAGGGAAAGTGAGAAAGGAAGTCACCAGGTCCGGGACTCGAACCGAGGTCGGCCATGTGGGAGTGTCCAGCACCTTAACCACCACGCCACCTACTGGTCCAATTAATTTTTTTATTTTTAAACTTTATTTATTTTAATTTGACCAGAGAGGGACAGAGTGAGGGAGAGAAAAACAGAGAGAGACAGAGGGGGGTACCAGCAGTTAGCGAATGGCTGTGTCACTGGACTCCCATGTAGTTGACCACGGTTCCAGTCCCGAATCTGGTGGCTTAAACTAATGCCAGGTGCGTGTGTATGCGTGCCCAAAATCCCAAGAGGAGAATGGAGGAGAAGGGATTGCAGCATGGCCATCCGCCCTGTGGGGGGATGGTTTCTCACTTTTTCTCTCTCTATCTCTCTCTGTCTTTCTGGCGAGTGCACACGCCCTATAGCAAAAACAACAACAAAAACAACTCTCAGAGAGAGACAGAAGGAAAGTGAGAGAGCAAGCTGCCAGGTTTGGGACTTGAACCATGGTCGACCATGTGGGAGTCCAGTGCCTTAACCACCATGCCTCCTGCCGGCCCCACTGCTCCTTTTTTAAAATTAATTTTCCAGAGGGCATATGCTCTCACCAAACAAATGGAAAGAGGGAGAGGGAGAAAGCACACCCTAATGAGGTGTGGTCACGCCACAATCCCTTCACCTCCATTTCTTCATCTTATTAGGATTTTAGGGCACAAATACACAACCTGGAATGTTTTCAAGCTGCTCAGACTGGAATTCAAACTGTATTAGCTATATGGATCTGACTCCCTTAACCAATAGGCCATGGGCTGGCCCTCTGCTCCTCTTTACCCTATCTAGGAAGAATTATTGCTAGACACACCTGCCTAAAGATCATTTACACATCTCAAAGGCATTTTAGAATCAGCTCAGAGATGAGACCACCCTGCAAATGCCAATCCTGTCGCTCCCTGACCGTTTTCTCTCCTTCTCACCCTGGTGTCTCATGCAGGGAACATCATTGGCTCTGGAATCTTTGTCTCGCCAAAGGGCGTGCTGGAGAACGCCGGCTCCGTGGGCCTTGCTCTCATCGTCTGGATTGTGACAGGTCTCATCACAGCTGTGGGAGCCCTCTGCTATGCTGAGCTCGGAGTCACCATCCCCAAATCTGGAGGTGACTACTCCTACGTCAAGGACATCTTTGGAGGACTGGCTGGGTAAGAGGATCTATGGACGTCTGAATGCTCTAGAGGAAAAGGAAAAAGATGGTGCAGAAAAAAGTCAGATTGGAGGAAGCTGAGACCGGTTCGAGTCCCGTCTCCAGAGTGCTGCTTCTCTCTTTTGCCTCTGAGTCATGGTTGCTGTGTAATCTTCTGTCCTCTTGATAATCCTAAGAGTAACAGGGGAACTGGTATGTAGTTTGAATCGCTATGCTCATCTTAGTGGACAAGAGTCGATGAGTGAGAGCAAGCTCTGTGACAGCACTGACCACAGACTACCAAGGAGAGCACATCCCAAATGAGGGTGACCATGTAAGATACAGCACACCCTCTACTCACATTACCAAGGACAATGGCCTCCCTGATCTTGAATTTCCCCAGCTTCTCTGTCCCTGCTGTGGAAGAGGTCAACCCTGACCACTGGGCCAAAGGGTGTGGAAGATGCTTCCCCAAGAAACCCGCACTCAGAGCCCCTCCTGACAGTTGCATGAGGGCCACACCCTTAGCGTGTCCTAACTGCCGGAATTCTAGAGTTAACACGTTTTATTTTTCCACCATTGGGTGCTGAGGGCCAGAGTGCAGAGGAGATGATGAAAGGAGAGGGGAGAGAGAAAGAATGCCAAGACTGTGTTAGTGCTAGTTGAAACTTAGCTCTTCATCGTTAAACCATTTTATTGTCATTGCAGAGGGCTGGGTGTCTCATGTGGGAGTGGGAGTGAGGGCTGGGCTCTTCAGCATCCCTGAAAACAAAAAGGGAGATGCGTGCCATTAGCCTGCCTGTCTCTGCTAGTGGCTGCCCACTGGCCTGCCTGGGCTTTCTCCTGATGCCTCTGATCCCTGCCATGCCTGTTGGCGGGGGGTGTTCTGTTCCTCCTCCAGGTTCCTGAGGCTGTGGATTGCTGTGCTGGTGATCTACCCCACCAACCAAGCTGTCATCGCCCTCACCTTCTCCAACTACGTGCTACAGCCGCTCTTCCCCACCTGCTTCCCCCCAGAGTCAGGCCTTCGACTCCTGGCTGCCATCTGCTTATGTAAGTGTCACCTGGGTCTTGCTCTCAGGTCAGCCTCTTTTAGCCTTCCTGGTGGGCTCATGTTTCTGATGCACCTTCCTTCGCTCTTATTTTTCCCAATTATTTTTCTTTTAACTCCCTACCAGTGTGTTTTGGATGAATGGCTTCTGCATGCAATGACCTGGTGTTAAAAATAAAAGAAGCTTAGGGCCAGAAGGTGGCATGAAGGTGAAGGTGCTGGATCCACTGTGTGGTTTGAGTCTTGGACCTGTTGACTTGAAAATCATGCCGGGCGCATGTGTGTGAGTGTCCAAGATGCCAAATGGAGAACAGAGAAGGGATTGCAGCGTAGCCATCCCCCCTGGGTGATTTCTCATTTTCCCTCTCTATGTCTCTACCAAGCACAGGCACCCTATAGCAAACCAAAAATAAAAACAAAAACCAAAACCAAAAAAAAGAAGCTTAAGGAACTCCTTAGAAATAAAGCCATTTTCACTGGCAGAATTTTTTACATCACGCAAAGCACTTTCACCTGTATTGTCTGATTTGCCCCTCATGGGAGGAAAGCTGGACCAGTATTATCATTTTCCTAGAACAGATAAGGAGACAGAGCCTGACAAGCGACTTGCCAAGGAGACAGGCCCTGCGTGGAGTCCAGGTCTCCTGATTCCTTCTTTTCTGGCAATGCCAGAGCATGCTGGCTTCTCACAGCTGTTGATAGGAAGATCGCCCCGGCCTCCTGGCAGTAGATGCATGTCTCCTTCTACTGCAACTTGCCAACTCACACTTTAAAATCTCTTGAGGAGATTTTGTCCCTGCTTCCTGCCCTCGATGAGTTTCTAAAGGGGTAAAAACATATAGACAGATCCCATGTTTGGGATCTAATTGCAATAAAAATTCAGAGAAGGTGAAAAAACCTCTCTGAGCTGGAATAGGTTAAAGAGGCTTTATAGAAAAACTTCTGAAGGGCCAGCCAGTGGTGTGGTGGCAAAGGCAGCTGGATCCTACATGGCCAACCACAAGGTTCAAGTCCCAGGCCTGGTGGCTTGAAAAATACACTGGGTTCATGTGCATGCATGCCCGAAATCCTGAGAGGAGAGTGGAGGAGAAGGGATTGCAGTGTGATCATCCCCCTGGGAGGTGCTTTCTCACTTTCCCTCTCTTTCTGGTGAGCACATGCACCCCATAGCAAATTTTTTAAGGAAAAAAAAAAAAAAAGAAAGAAAGAAAGAAAGAAAAGAGGGGCAAGCAGATGGTGTGACAGTTAAGACACAGGCCCCTCCCACAGTTCAAGTCCCAGGCCCAGTGGCTTAAAAATCACACAAGATGTGTGTGCCCAAAATCCCAAGGGGAGACTGGAGGAGAAGGAATTATGGCATGGCATTCCCCCTCGGGGCTGATTTCTCACTTTCCCTCTCTGTCTCTCTCCGTCTCTCTCTCCCCAGTGAGTGCATGTGCCCTGTGGCAGAAACCTAAAAAAAAAAAAAGGAAAGAAAGAACAAAGTTCTGCAGAGCCATATTTCCAGGAAGTTTCAGCACTTAATCTCTGATGCTCTGATGTTAGTGATCTCAATGGATTGGGGTATTTTACACCTTTAATCAAAAACTAATTTCCAAGGCTGGGTGGTAGCACGGTGGTAACACAAATGGACCCACATGGGGGAGGTCCCAGGTTGAAATTCTGCAACCTCTGAGCACACCGCCAGCTAAGATTGGGGATAGATCACCAATAGCTTAAAAACCCTGTTGGGAATTCCTGTCTTTCTGTCTTTCTGTCTGTCTCTCTGTCTCTCTGTCTCTCTCTCTCTCCCATGAAAAAAATAGATAAATAAACATTTTTTTTTTTTGAGAGAGAGATTTTCGCTATAGGGCGCGTGTGCTCGCCAAACAGACATAGAGAGACATAGAGACAAAAAGCAAGAAATCACCCCCCAGAGGGGATGGTCACACCGCAATCTCTTCTCCTCCATTCTCCTCTCGGGATCTTGGGCACGCACGCACACGCACCTGGCGTGAGTTTTAAGTCACCGGGTCCGGGTCGCGAACCGCAGTCGACTACGTGGGAGTCCAGCGACATGGCCATTACACTAACTGCTGGTTCCCAATAAACTTTTTTTTTTTTTGAGAGGTTTTTGCTGTAGGGTGCATGCACTCACCAGGAAGACAGAGAGAGTCAGAGAGACAGAAAGTGAGAAATCACCCCCAAAGAGGGATGGCCACACTGCAATCCCCTCTCCTCCATTCTCCTCTCGGATCTTGGGCACACACACACACACACGCGCCCGGCGTGAGTTTAAGCCACTGGGCCTGATACTTGAGCCATGGTTGACTACATGGGAGTCCAGCGACAGTCATTATGCTAACCGCTGGTCCCAATAAATAAACTTTTAAAGAGAACTGATTTCTTGGGACCAGCAGAAGGCATGGCGGTTAAGGGCACTGGCCTCCCACATGGCCAATTGCAGTTCAAGTTCAGACCTGGCGGCTTGCTTTCTCACTTTCCTCTCTCTCGCTCTGTCCCTTTCTGATCAAATTAAAATAAATAAATTAAATTAAATTAAAATAATTATTTAAAAAAAACTAGTTTCTCAGGACCAGAAGTTGTCATAATGGCTATGTCGCTGGACTCCCATGTAGTCAACCACGGTTCAAGTCCCAGACCCAGTGACTTAAACTCACACCAGGTGCATGTGTGTGTGCATGCATGCCCAAGATCCCGAGAGGAGAATGAAGGAGAAGGGATTGTGGCGTGGCCATCCCTCCTTGGGGGTGATTCCTTGCTTTCTGTTTTTCTGTCTCTCTCTGTCTTTCTGGCGAGCGCATGCGCCCTATAGCAAAAACCTCCCCGCCACAAAAAAAAAAAAACAAAAACAAAAAAAAAACGAATTTCTTAAGCATATACGGGGATATACCTTGGAGGTTCCTCATGTATAGTTAGTTCAGTCCTTACCTTCCCGCACGTTTTTTCTTACACAACCTACCAGGACATGCCCTTTTCCAGGTCCTGATACTTTTCTTTTCTCACGCTGGTAGAATGGGGGAAGCAGGAATCACTCATCCACCTCAATAGCCTCTCACAGGGCAGGCAGCTAGGGCCAGGAAATTCGTGGTGTGTATGCCCTTCTTGGTAGTGGTGGTCAGCCCTGGGATAGAGCCCCATGGCCAAGGCAAGTTGTTATATTGGGCTAAGACACTTGTTTTGGGCCATATTCCTGTGCTTGGTCAGGCCCTTGCAGATCTGGAGGCAGAGAAATGTAGGCTCCAGATCAGCTCCCTGAACCTGCATCTCCACTGCCCCAGCATGGAACAGTGGTGACCAGTGCTCAGCAAAGTTACTCTCCCCACCCCCTGTGAGATGGGGACTGTAACCCTGCCTGCCTCAGGAATCGTGGTTGAAAGCGTTGCTGGAGAAAGGGAACGCAATGCCCTCAGCACAGTGTTGGACACCTAGTGTAGTGGCTGATGGGAGGCTGTGGTGTCAAGTTGTTGGGCCTCTTTGTCATCTCCTAGCTGATCCAGAGCTGAGGAGGGCAGACGGAGGAAGGAGGGCGTGGGAATGCAGGAAGAGTTGCTGTTTCTGCCCTCAGACAGGCTAATGGGGGGAGGTGGGAAGGGGACCACATGAGTGCTAGCCACTGCTGTTTCTGCAGCTCATCACGCAGACAGCTTCCTTTTTCCTGC